GGTTCCTGTTTTTATTTTTCATGAACAGACAATTAGACAAAAATGTAGTAAAATTTGATAATTGCAAAATAGAAGAAACAAAGATGATCATGGGAACCTGAGCGGATTCACTCTGTGACTGCTTCATTTGTTTTAGTACTTGCTTTTTGTTGTTTTGCTGACTGAATGGGTCATGTTTTTATTTATGAGTTCCTATCGTTGTGCACTTTCCTCATGTAGGTATTATTCATTGCACCTGTTAATGGGAGTAAGACACCAGATGTTACTTATTCGAATGTTGTCAAAGAAATAGGCGCTGATCAAAGTTTGGATGATCTAGAAACAAACGGGGGTACTCACCCGCATGCCTTGCAACTGGTGAAAACACGACTTGAGAACATTGTTAGGCGTCCCAAGAAACCAGGCTCTAAGGTGCAACTTGACAAAAACATAATTGCTTGAAGGTCACCAGGGCTTGATAGATTTGGTCTCCAATCTGAATAATTTTTTTCTTATTAATGCAGGCCTCAGACTATAATCTGGGACCAAAAGAATTTATCCTTCTGCTTGGATGGCGCCCCGACATCATAGAGATGATTGAAGAATATGACAATTATCTTGGACCTGGCAGTGTCGTGGTATGTTCTAATTCGCTTGGAACTCTTGTTGTGGATCCTATATTCAGCAATTTCCCTAAAATGTAAAACAATAGTTAAAGTACATTGTTACTTACGCAATTGCATGTGTGATGGAATCTTGAAGAGGTACTTATATTAAGTGGCTGCAAGACTCCAAAGTAAAGGAAGGCAGTGAAATCTCTAATAAATCAATTGCCCTGATCTGTAAAACATTAGTAAAGGATGTAAATTGTTACTTGTGCAAGTACATGTGTGATGTAACATGGAGAGGTGGTTATATTAAGTGGTTGCCAGGTACTTCAAAGTAATGTGCAGGCGGCGAAATTGCCAATAAATCAATTGGGATGTTATTGCAGGAAATTAACGGATTATAGGAATTTTTCTTCACCTTGAGGAAGCATGATAGAGACTGAGAAAAATAGATTTTTTTGTCTGCACAACCAGGAATCGTTGTTTTATATGTGCAGGAAATTTGACACTTGATTAAACATAATTTTGATATGATCACCTAGACTAAGTTTCTAGACATACATGCATTGGTGACTCACAATTCATCATCTTTATGCATGCAGGAAATTTTGTCAGATGTACCGTTAGTGGACAGAAAGAGGACAAGACAAGTTTCTGATCAAGGAAAACTCAAACATGTCAAGGTTTCTCATCGGGTACTGCCTCTTTCTTTCAACCTAGAGTAGTACCTTCTGGTGTTTCTTTTCTTTCTCTATAATATCTTTGCAGGGAAGTTTCCTTTTCCGCTTATAAACTTCCATTTTTTCCATGAGCTGCAGATTGGAAATCCAATGAACTTTGAAACCTTACAAGATACCATAGTGCATATCCAAAATTCATTGAAGAATGAAGATGTTCCCTTGTCGGTCGTTGTAATATCTGATAGGGAATGGCTTCTTGGAGGTGAACATACATGAATTCCTCCCTTTTTCTTGGTTTTATGTTGTTTTCAATTAGCTTTTGGTCAATTTGCGTTGAAGTACCCTCTCTTCAGATCCAACCAGGGCAGACAAGCAATCCGCGTATTCTCTTCTTCTTGCTGAAAATATTTGCAACAAACTTGGTGTAAAGGTAGGTCAAGTTCAAATAAATAACAGCATCAATCATCATTTCCAATTTTGTAAAAATTCAAACTCAGAGTTTAATGAATTAATTAGTTTTCACAATAACTTAGTCATAATCGTCACCTAGAGCGTTTTCACAATAACTTAGTCATAATCGTCACCTAGAGCAAAAGTAACAAGGTGGTGCTTTGCAGGTACAGAATCTAGTCGCAGAGATTGTGGACTCGAAATTGGGCAAACAAGTAAACTCCGACAGACTTTTGTCACTGTTTATTATTTCTGTTGATATTCAATGGTATTGATTGTTATACACCCACAATCACTGCAGATCACAAGAATTAAGCCGTCCCTGACTTACATTGCCGCAGAGGAAGTAATGAGCCTCGTAACAGCTCAAGGTCTTGAATCCTTGTACTAGATTTAGCTCTCACAACATATAATATGGTTATTCCAAAATATTATAACGGGTAAATGATTTCTTTGTGCTTAACAGTTGCTGAGAACAGTGAACTAAATGAAGTGTGGAAAGACATTCTAAATGCAGAGGGTGATGAAATATATGTAAAGGTAAGTGCCTCGAATCCTCAATTTTAATATGTTATGATGTTGATCTCGATTGGACGTTGTCTTTTTTGTATTTTCGGCTAGAGGATTTGGATTGGATATCCATTAAACTGTATATTTAAACTTTGCCTGCTTTGTTACAACAGGATATCAGCCTCTACATTAAAGAAGGAGAGAACCCTTCATTCTTTGAGCTTTCTGAAAGAGCACAACTGCGGAAAGAAGTGGCGATAGGTTATGTGAAAAACAACAAGAAGGTAAAATGGTCTTGATTTGGATTCGGCTCTTAAATTGCTTCAGACTTCTCATTCGTCTCTTATGCCATGTTGCAGTTTATTAATCCAGTTCCCAAGTCCGAACCCCTCTCCCTTGAGTTGACAGATTCGTTGATAGTTATATCCGAACTTGAAGGAGAACAACCTATCATTCTGGAGAACCAATCAAGTTGAAACAACCGCCCAAATTTTGCTCGTGAAAGTTTGAATCCCATGCTAAATGGAAGTACTCATGTTTTGACAGTGAAAGTGTTCTCCGAGCTTGACCATAGAACCGGCATTAAACCAGCAAATTGGTGAAGAGACTGTTTTAGCTTCTTTCTTTTGCAGTATTAGCCTCTCTTTTGTTGTTAAGACCGTAACATGATACAGACACCACACTAATTCATGGAAATTTGTCCAATAAGGAAAATCTGGATTAACAGTAATAAGCATTGTTAGCCATATTAATTATACCTTGATATTGTCCATGTGTTCGAAATTAACAGTTTCGTCTGACTGTTCTAGTAATATGTCTCTTGACGCTGGAAGACGTCCTAAGTTTGTGGGTTGAGCATGCCGTAAGGTGCGCATTTTAGTAAGAAGTTAATTATAGCTGGCCACTTGTATAATGCTCTTTTAGCAACAGATCAAAGTCTGAATAGAGTCTCGTTCTTTTGGTCACTTGATGACAAAGGATTGATGGTTACTGCCCTTTAAATTTGATACCAAGGATGAGATTAAAACAATAAAACCACGTTTATTTAATCTCAACGTTTGGTATCAAAGCCAAATGTGAGTGAGCATGAATTCCTTGATTATCAGTTGAGTAAGAGAATATTTTTGTGGTGACCAAGAGAACATTCTAAGTCCGAGTAACAAAGGGTGATCCAAATCTGAATGCGTGATCCATGCACCACTATATTCTCAAATCTCAAATAAGACCATGTGCAATGTAACATGTGTTAAGAACGATATGAGTTTCTTGAGAATACAATTAAGCTATGCTTATAATACTCGATCAAATTCCACATAAAACAATAAAATACGATTAAAGAACGTCGTTACTAATGAAAATTTTAAGCATTCCAAGGTTTCACAATGATATGATGCTTATTATAGAGATTCAATTTGTATATCGTAATCCGCTTGAAATAATTTCACTATGAAATTGTTTGGCAGCTCGTATAAATATGATTAATAATACATACTCGGTTGATTGGTACATTTATATTAAAAAAGTACTTGGATAATTTAGGGTAGTGCTATTCATGGGTATTTTTACCCTCTACACACCTTCTGTTTTTATTTTTATTTTTAACAAACAATAGTATCTACACTAAGAATAGAGGAGTGAGCTAAGCCTTACAATAGGCTTGTCATAATCGTGTGGTTCAACTTCGCATTTGGCAAGAATTGAACTTAAGACCTCTCATTTACAAGTAAAAAGAAATACCACTAGACCGTAGTACTAAGTGGCCGCACACACTCTTGTTAATCATTGATCTTCATCAATTAATTCGATCCGACGGTTGAAAATTGAGAGAGTATGTGAGAAGTAAAAATAGGGGCGTTGATAGCATTACCCAAAATTTCATTTAAAGAATTATAAATATTAATGAGTGGTTTCATTAATTTTAACAAATGTACTTCTTTTATATAAATTGGTTGCGAATTCGCCATTTATAAGATTCGAATATAAGATATCTCACTCACAAGTAAAGAAAAATGCTATTAAATTATAGTACTAAGCGACAAGTTTAACAAATATCTTAGTATTGTAGCCAAATTCTAAATAAATGAAACTAACTATAATATTTATACGTGTTTAATACAATGAACGTTTAACCGTCAAAATAATGATGATATTAAACACATAAGCATTGCAGTTAAATATAAAGTGTGTACTTAAAAATAATAAAATATCAAGAAAGTTTAAGCATGCTTACTAAATGTTATGTTTAGGTGGGTGCATTCGATTGATATTTTGAGGGGTTTTTAATTTTTTTAATGAATTTAGGGGTATTCAATCAAGATTTTAAGTAATTCTTTGAAATTCAAGGTGTATTCAATTAGAATTTTAAGATAATTTATTAAAATCCTTAGAAATCCGGATGTATTTAATTAGGATTTTAAAGAAGTTTGTAACATTCCAGGTGTATTCAATTAGAAATTGATTTTAAAAAATTTGACAAAGTTGAGGAATTAGAGGGAATTGAAAAGATTTGATAATGTATTTTAAGTATCCACAAATCTCACATCTCCTCATAAAATTTAGAGGAAATTAAATCAAAATTTTATATAAAATCTTTACAAATCAATTAAATTACATAAAAATTCTTAAATTTATAAATCTGTTAAAATCTTTCCAATTCTAAATTGAATACATCCCTTAGCTCTGCATGAGACGGCGGATTAAGTCCGAAATGGAATTTAGGTCAAACGCGAGGAAAATTTTATTTCGGCTCAACTTTTTATTTTTTATTTTTTTAAAGAAAGGAAAAAAGAGAAAACTCAACAAAACAAATTGCTCTTGGAAAGCGCTCGCTGTCATCTGTCCGTGCCCTCGTCGATTATTTGGAGAGGTAAAGCCATGGCTCACGGTGGCTACAGCAAGCGGCGGGTGAACCCCGCCGGACGTCGGTCCAAGTCGGCCTTGGGCCCGGAGAAGAAGCCCAAGTCGGTCACCCTCAAAAACCAGATACGCTCCATCGAGCGCATGCTCCGTAAGGTACTCCCTCACTCTTTCTTCTCAATCTCCAGCTCTTTATCTGTTTTTCCATTTCGACCTTGCTTCGGTTGTGGTTGATTTTGGGGTTAGGGTTTGTGCGGTTTGGGGGTTACAATCACCTAGTTCTTCGCTAGCCCTGATGTGTGTATATATAGACAAAAGTGTGTACAGTACACTGAATTTCTGAGGAATTTGAAGGAATTGGAAAATGTCTGACCTAATACCGCTTGAATTAGTATTCATGTTCCAAGATTAGAAATTTGTAGTTGGCAACTTTGTGGTTTTATCTATTGATGAAGTGCTAATCATCGTGAAATGCCTAACACTTTGATTGTTTTCCTAAGAATTTACCAGCTGAAGTTAGGGAGGCTCAGGAAAAGAAGTTGGAAGGGTTCAAGAAACAGCAGGAGATTCACTCCCGTCTCGCTGTGGAACGCAAAATATTTATGCGTGACAGGAAGATCAAGTTTTTTGGTATGAATGAACCGAGTCCATTTGTTATTCTAGTTATTGTGTAGGTGAATTCTTGCATGATGTACGGCTTAATTGCATTGGTGGTGCATGTTTTGCTTGAGTCGTGAAAGTAACGTGCACCTTTTTCAGAGAGAAGAAAGATAGAGAGAAGATTAAGACGTCTGGAGAAACTTCAACGTGCTTCTTCTGGTCAGGCACAAGATGCAGAGATTTTGTTGCAACTTTCCAAATTGAAAGAAGATCTTGAATATGTTAGGGTAAGCTATATAGTGGCCTTTGGTTTATCTGCTTTTATGTTGATGTCGGTGCATTGATATGATAGTTGTAATTGGAAGTTTGGTATTTTTTCTTCTTTCATGAGAATATCTTAAGCTTATATTGACTTGAAATGTGAACTTCTACATGACCTTGTGCTTTACTGGAGAAGAGCCATTTTCTTTTGTTACTTTGCTTGTTACAGACTTTGAATTGTTTTTTGAAATAACACTGTAGTTGTTTCCAATAATGTCAAACTAAAAGGCTGATATTTGTTGACCATCAGTTCTTTCCCAAGACCGAAAAATATGTCTCGTTGTTTACTGGAGGTGAAGATACAGATGTGATTGATAAGAGAAATAAGTTGCGTAAGCAGATTAAGGCCAATATAGTTGCTGCAGCAGCTAGCGGAAAGGATTTGGAAGGTATTTCTTTTATGCCTCACTTCCATCAGAAATTTTCTCGTAGAGTTATTCTTCATAAGATCAGGTCAGACAACCTCTATATAAGCAATAACTACCTAATGTTATGCATCAATATATTTTTTAGTATTCCGAAGTTGTTTGAGGGTGAATTCCTAACTTGGTGCAGACTTATCTGAATATTTATTAAGGGTAAATACCACTTGAAAGAAAATATTGGATGAAAATACCTAGCAAAACATCTAGTCTTTAAATGAAGTTGATAGTAGAAGTAAGAATGGCTGGAAGATAACATATCAAACACAAACATCTACCAACTTATGCTTTCCGCATTTCTGCCATGCTATTATTTTCTTTCAAAAATCTAGGAGATGTTTTATGTTTTCTCTGCGGGATGCTTATTTTACCTCTCTTTTCTTCTTTTAATTGTCAATTATGAACATAAGCTGAGGGTTGCAAATTATTGAACTATTTTGTTACACTGACAAGAATGTTTTTTGTTCTTGGAATTCCTACAGAAACAGGGAGTGAGGACGACGGGCTTCTGGATATGAGCGAAGATGATTTCTTCCTAAATGGGAGTTCTAGTGATGAAGCAGATGCAGACGATGAATGGACAGATAAGAGTGCAAAGTATTTTTCCATCTTATTCTGTTTGTAGTTTTTAGCAATAAAATTGTTTCTTGCACAAATAATTAAAATTATGAGTGAGATACTATTATTTAATCTTGAGAACCTTTTTGTTTTAAGGTAGGGTTATATGTTTGTTTTTGTTTGAATGGACTGCGTTAATATTCCCTCTTTGATTGGTTAGTTGAACTAACAGTTTAAGTTCTGATTTATCAAAGCAAAACAGTGAGTTCTCATTTATCAAAAAAAAAAAAAAAGTGTAAGTACTCAGTGGAATAGAAAGCTTATTTATGAATTAGGGGACTGTTGTGGACTTCGATCATTATCACTTTTTTGAAACATGAGCCCACTGCTTGTAATTTGATTTAGTATATAATCTGTTCCTTCATTTTTATGTGTGTTACCTATTTATTAGAAATATGGTCTGCTTTGATGGAAGTTGCCTCTAAATTTGTCATCTGTTTTGCAGGGAACAGGCTTCCAGTGCTTCTGGAAAAGCAACCTCTGGCATGTCCAGTGATGAGAGAAATCAGGTTTCCCATCTTCTCACTATTATACTGCTGTAATTAACTATGTGTACTTATTGAGTGTTTATATTTCTGCCTCCTCACCTGAACTTTCTTAAATAGCGACAGATTTCTGCTAGAGCTTTGATGCCTCCACCCCGGCCATCCAGCAATTCTCGCTCAAGTTCAGTTCATGCTCAGTCAAGGTTTGGTCCTTCATCGAGCAAAAATTCCTCAAAAAAGCCTGCTGAAATGACCACATCGAGCAATACATCAAATAGCAGAAGTGGAACTTCCTTCAATACATCAAATAGCAATACATCAAGTAGCAGAAGTGAAACTTCCTTCAAAGATAGGGGATCCTCTAATTCAACTGCTGGTCAAAGTAGCAATTTGAGCTCCAACTCTGATGCTCATAAGCCCCGTAGAAAGAGGAGGCCAAAGAAGAAAAAGCAGCAGGTTCGCGTTACTTGTTAATGTTGGATAGTTTATATTTTTGCATTTCTGTTCATGAGGTTTGTAGTTTCTTTTCGGTTGAAAATTTGTTACAATGCTTTTAAAAGTCTGTCTATGACAATCTCCAAAGATGATGAAAAAAGTAAGGAAATTTGCGACTCATCTAGATGGTCTTGATTGAACCTAATGCTACTTGGTTCTAGTATCTGTTTTTGTGTCTTATATAAGAATATCACTCCTTTTTATACCTCAGCTACTGAGCTCTTGTACCCGCACTTTATCCCACACTGGGGTATAGGTATTGGCCCTCTAGGGTCAGTCACGCATATATGGAACTTACTACCCTTGCCATGTTTCCATGGATGCTAAATATGGCCATCATTGCACAATTTCCTTGAGATTGATTGTTCTTGAATACAATGTGTCAAAATTGGCTGATTGGTAGTAATTGGCCACATCCTTGTTCCTGTGATTTATGAAGTTCATATACCGTATTGGTAATCAGCCACATTCATTATTCTTGTGATTTATGAAGTTTATATGCCATATTGGTGTATATGTGTTGTGATGGGTGACAAAGCATTTTCCTATTTTCATGATTAGTTTATGAGCTTTACAACTCATAAAGAGTTGATTTAGGCTGAAAGTGGGTACACAGACAAGATTGAGCCCCAAATGGTGTGAATTGAGTCAATTGATGCATGTCCGCGCTTAGATAGGCATAATGACAGTGGCTAGGCATTTTTTTTGGCTAACTCGAAGAAGTTGGATGTATATCTCTGCCTGATTGATTTTAGCTAATTATTCAAGCTGGAAAACTGAAGTACAATTCAATGATGGACAATCTTTGTTTGTTTATTCATCATTTATCATTAAATAACCATTAATTTAAATACCCATACTATGCTAAGTGGATTTCTTCATTGGGTAGAATCCTTATGTCCTACAAGGCTGCTATGGGATGTGTTCAATATAGTGCTATGCTTGCTTCTATTTATTTCAGAGCCAACTTCGTACTTGCTCTTCGTAGTGTTCAAAAGTCTGGTTCATACTAGTATTCTTTGTACAGTTGATGCCATTTGTTTACGATGTATTGTAGTTGGTAAACATCTTTTTCATAACCAACTACTTGTATATTTTCAGGGATGAGGGGAAGTTGCTTGGTGCGGATGCGGACCTTTGCTTTTAAGGATTTGATGGCTTTGAGTTGTTACGCGAAATTCTTACTGCTCAGTCTCGACAATGAAGTGTGTATTTTCTTTTTGTATCGGTCTTTGGTTGGAAACCGGTGCTTACTGCTCAGTGTAACGATCAGTCATAACTCCATGCCTACTCACTCCGAGTTGGGCTCGATTTATCTTGAGAATGTTTCTGTTGCAACTGTACAAACTTCCGATCTAGTGAGAATCACAAAATCCTTGGATGGATATACTTTGTACTGGATTTGCTTGCGGAAGATATGAAGCTTCAATAATTTTATGGAGGGTGTTGGCAGTTGGACTTGGATGCAATTGTGCATCAGTTGATTTCCGCTACAATTGGGTGGGTTGATTTATCGGGTTGGGTTTCGTTAGGTATGGACGGACAAAGCATCAACACAGCTCAACTTAATAAATAGTCGGTTTGGCGTCGCATTGGGTTTGAGCAGGTTATAACAAAAAAAAAAAACTGCCCTTTCGGGTTTAAGATTGGGATTTGATATGGGTGGGTTCGGGTTGGCCCAACCCAAGTTACCTTTGACAATTAATTTAAGTCTTAGTTACTCGTAGGGTGCTAAACCCTTACCATTCACCCTTAAACCAAACTATTATAATTAAAACATAGTATTCTTCGTATAGAATTTGGCCAGTACGCAAGAAAAGATAGAATAATGTAAAATTATGAGCACAAATTGTGCAGAAACAGAAGGAATACCCAAAAAGTCGCTTCTAAAAGAAGAAGTAACATAAAAAGTACAAGCAAAAATTAGACTACAAGAGCCAGTACTCATAGTGCTTCCAGTTGTCAAATTCTTTGAGAAATGCGTCTGTCTTGACCATGAAGTTCATAAAATTCTTGATAGCTGTTGACATATATGGAAAAGCCAAGGTCAAATATTATTAATGCTACATATAAACATATGTGTGTGTAAATCCATGACTTGGGATATAAAATTAAAGAGAGAGAACAGAATTTTAAGGAAGATGCTATTAACACTACACAACTTGTTATTGTCGAGCTACATGTGAAGCCCGTGTAGGGATTATTGCACGCGATCACAATGGTACATTTTTAGGTGGTGCTTCTTTACAATCACATCAATCCTCGTCCGATGTCGCTGAAGCAAAGGCTGTTCTCTGGGGTTTGAAATTTGCCAAAGCCAAATGTTTCAACCATATCATCATTGAGAGCAATTCTTCGACGGTCATTGAGTGCTTGAGGAAACCAAACCTTCGCAACCAATGGTGTCTATATCGAATTATCAAATTCGTATGACAGTGGCTTCCTTTGCTTTTGTTGAGTGGAACTGGGTTCCAAGAATGACCAACCAAGCAGCTCATGTGGTTGCATCTTTAACTAATTTGAGGGTGAGCAATCTCTCATGGACAACTTTGCCCACTCCCTCACTGGTTATGGTTCTATCTCGGGATGGGCTTGCATGTCCTTCGCCATCTTTTGATTGAGGTCTGATAGTGGTATCACTATTAGCCTCTCCCTCTTTTGTTTCACCTGAGTGGTGTTTAGTAGTGTTTGTCCGATTGTCTAGGCCGTATTTCACTACTGCCTTGTTTGAATCAAGTGCACTCTCTTTTTTATTTTGAGTTTTGCCTTTGGGCTATCATAGCCTTTATTTGTACTTACTGCCCCTTTTTACGTCTTTAATGAAGCTTTCATTTGACCAAAAAAAAAAAAAAAAATACACAACCTGTTAATATGCACTCCAAATTTATAAGACCACAAGGAAAGAAAAAATTTGAGTGAGTTGTCGTAGACAATTGCATTTTTGAAGTGCTAATAATTAGCACTTACACACACACACACACACACACAAAAACAGTTTGTAAGGACCAATACATATTTCAAGCGAAGAAAATCACTTTTAATTTATTAGATAATAATCCCCAATTGGACAAGGCAAACTAAAGATTAACTAGATGCAGTACAATAAGATCTCACAAAGAAAATCATATGATGAATTAACCTCATCGTAAATCATTGAGGATCGATATTGTGAGAAATTCATATGTGGTTCTAAGTTCAAATCTCTTCACTCTATTGATAAAACAAAATTCAGAATTAAGATAGGGAAAACCAGCCAAACTACTTTTGAATTAATCAGATAAAAGAGAAGGCGACAACTGTAGTAACCAACTTCAAGAATTTGAAGATGTAGCATAATAAGATTAACCTCACAGAAAAATCATGAAACAAACTAGTCATAAGGTTACTGACTTTAATTACCTCCATGTTAGCCTAATCTCTTCCACCTTTTCGTCGATCGCTCTAGTTACTGACTTTAATTCTATACGTATAGCAACATAGGAGCCGATATGCTTCCTAAAAAAATGGAAACCCCCCTTACGCAATCATTGAAATGTTTTCTTCTCCTTTCTTTAAAGTTCTTTCTTTTTCGAGAAAATCCCCATTGGAATTGATTGAGCAACACGAAAATACTATACTAGTTAGGTTTTAGGGCCATCGCCTAGTGTCTGTTATATATCGGTAGGGTTCGGTTTGTCTGTTATTGGTTTATATCATGAGATACTTACACACATGAAGTGATTTAAACGAAAACTGATCGCACAATATACGATGAACAAATATATTAGAGAATTTCCAGAAACTTCACACAGAGAAAATCCGGCAAGAATCCTCTCTAGATTTGCAAGAGTTAAAATACTACATGTTTATCCAAATGTGTTACACTTTTCCGTTTAAAAGTTGTATTTTGAATATGTGTGGCAGGTGATAAAGATGCAGTGAGATGCGTGTTTGATGTGAAACCTGTTGGAAACTTCAAATGGGATGCTAGCTAGTTGCGGTAATTCTAGTTTTTGGTGTTGGGAGATCTGTTGCAGAGAATATATAATTTATAGGAGAAATTAGATTCTCATTTTTTATTGTGTTGATTAAATTTTAATTTTTTTAATTTTTTTTATCAAGATCTTTAGATTTTAATGAAAATTATTATTTCAGATATAAATTGTTTACATATCAACATATTTAAATTTTATTTTTAAAATATATTAATTTAGTGTTAGAAACGTTACATTTGATATATTTATATTTATGGTTAAACTTTGTATTATATATTTTTTATTTTTAGTTTGTACCATTTTTAATTTGCAATCCTTTTTAAATTTGTACCAATTTTTTTGTTTTTTGTTTTTAGTTTTAATTTGTATCCATATATTAATATCATTTTGTGCCCATAATTTTAAATTTTTATTTATATTCATAATTTATTTATAATGTACCTATTTTTATTTATAAATGTACCACTTTGTACATGTAAAATGTATCTTTTTGGTTTTTTTTAATGTAAAATATACCCATATTTTAATGTAAAATTTATTTACTTTTTATTTATAATGTATACATGTTTTATGATAAAATGTACCCTTTTTCAATTTTTTTTGAACACTATGGGTACATTATTTATTATTTCAAAGTTATATTGTTACCTGTTTTTATCTATTTATTCAATCAAGATTTTTGAGTATTTTCTTTTTCTTGTAATCATTTTTAATTTATATTCCACATAATATGAGATTTTAAATCCCATAACATGTCAAGTAATTAATATCAAACATATGAAAATACATATTGATAGCAATAATGAGGTGTACCAAGTCAATGGACTTTGATAAAAAATTGAATAACATTAAGTTTTAAGTCAAAGAAAGTTAATTAGTAAATTTTTCTCTACATGTAAGTGAGAACTTACAATGGAATAGAGTTCTAATAAGGACTCACAAGTTACAACGGGATAGACTCCCAAAATAGCCACACCACTATAATGAGACCAACCACAATTAAATAACGAAATTTGTTGAAATATGATTGAGATACCAATTTTTTCGAGAGATTTTTGGTGTACTCAAAACACAAGCAGTGAAGCCCAAGCGATGTTTCGGGTTTCAAAACTGTCTTAAACGTGTAAAAAGTAGGGCATATATACGTGAGAAAATATGTGCCAAAGATTAGGGTTATATACATATATTACATGAGAAAATTGAGGATGCTGATTTGGCACAGTTAAAGAGTGCTATTTGCATTCTTATATTACATTACAAAAATTGGGATGGTAATACGCCATAGCCAGAGAGTACTATATACATTCATATATTACATGCCAAAAATTGAGGAAGTTAGTATGTCATCCTCATGGATTGTTCTTCAAAATTGGGATGGTACGACAACGATGAACTGAAAAAAAAAAAAAAAAAACAAAAAAAATTAAAAACAGAACTCGATCACTTAAGAATTGAATGAATCTAAATTGCATATCAACATTCATCACTTAAAGCAGTATAGTTATTTAAAACAAATAATCTGGCTTATCACTTGCAGCCATGTTTCCAATTGCTCCATTTCTTGTGATTTATTAAGTTTTCTTCTCTAATCAAGGGAAATTACAAAATCATATTGAAAACCCCTATCGAAGCACGTTAATAATCTAACTAATGAATGTGATTCGAGAAACAAACCTTGTTCAAGTGCAACCGATCAGATCTCGCCCTTGCATTGCTATTTCCAACACAGCACTCTGTACATAAAATCCCAAAAAAAAAAAAAAAAATCAATAGGTAACCTACTTAATAGATTAATGTAGGCATATGTGAATTTGAATGGCTTAAAACTAAAAAATTGCGAAATTTTATAGAAAAGTTTCAGTCAGACCTTATTTCGAAAACATTGCTCTGTTCTTCCTCAGGTTGCGGAACAACTCCTCCACCAAAACTAATTTACAGCATTTGTTTCAAGCCTAATCATTATGAGTCAATTTGGAGATTTGATAAAAGATCTCAGAAATTAAATGAATAATTCAGATAAAAAAAATCATATCAAAAGAGCCCATAACTTTAAAAGAAAAATTATCCTAAACCCTGCAAATTTAAACGAAGAATTCTAAAAAAAGGGTAAATCGATCTGATAAAAAAGGGTAGATCGATAGTTGCCTACACATTTTTCTAGACAAACAAGAAGAACAAACTGAAGGTGAAAGATCCTCACTAACAGAATGTCTAAAATTTCTGAGAATAGCAGAGAATACTTCCTCAGATGGGTGCCAAAGTCTCTTGTGCCAAACTGAAACTGTCACAGCTTTTCCAAGTAATGCAATTGCCTTATTTGAACCAGCAACAAACCTTCTTGAAAACACATTCACAGATATCTCATATAGCTCTCCTTTACTCCTGCCTTGGTACAATATCATTCATGTTACCTTGTCATGTATGAAAAACACAATTCATCACAAATAAACTAGCAACCACTACCCTTGCAAAGTTTCTTTACAAATAAAAGATTGACTAATTGTTGGAACATGTAGTATATTTCTTAAAAACAATAAATGTTGTGGAGTAGAAAGAGTTACAGAACCAATGTGTTTAACAGTCAAACCTTCACTATTACCAATAGTGATCTTCTGTTTACCGTTAAATTGTACTGGTTGATTCAGATTTCTGAGGTTTGGTGTCATGTGATGGGAGGCACCAGATCCAAGTATCAGCAGCAAAAATTGCTTGTGCATGTTGTCCAAATTTAGCTGCAGAGACCTGTGTTGGAGCTTGAGCTGAATAAGCAGTGAGAGAAAGAGGTGAAAGTGCACCTTGATAAGTGATGTCTTACACCCTATTACATATTCCATAACATCATCTGATAGAGTAGCAATCAACAAACTCAATAGTGCCATATCCTTCTGAACCAAAGATTTATAAGCCTCTGTTATTTCTTTAGTCACTCCAGTCTCAGTATCAATCACAAACTTTGGTGGGCAAGGAGATTCACCACTAAAGAACTCCAAGAAATCATACCCTCTTAAAAACTAAAACTGATAATTACACTTAACAAAATTGTCATCTTGCAACTTCAGAGTTAACATCCCAAGCAAACTTTAAATGCATACTGATTTATCAGACATCTTGATCACTTAATTCTTTTCACAACAAACACAAATCTTCAACAATTGATCACAATTTACACCAATCTGTCAAGAAATTTAGAATTCGCAAATCACAGCATAACAACATTCAACTTCAATTACTAATCCTTTTAACTCCAACAATTATCAACTTCTCAAGACAACAAGCTCATACATTTGGCATCGGCCTTGTTGATTCACACACTACAAATGCACACATGTCAACAATTGCACAAATCTTTGACGCCAGTCCTTATCACAGAAACACATACAGTTCTTCTACCATCAACAACTCTTGGCATCGGCCTTAATCATGTACAGAAAGAAACCTAGATACGAAAAAACCAAAAGAAACACCCCAATTCTCCATATATCTTCACTGATGCATAAACACAAACACTTGATGTGCAGATAGTAAAGGAAGAAAATAAACGACCTGATTCAAGATCCAACGAGCCAAGAATCGCAGAAAACTGATCAGCAAGCCTCTAAGAACTGCAATGAAATCTCCAGTTCTTTAACTTCCGCGGAAGAGATAACACTGAGGATCGTCCGGGCGATTGATACCATCTTAACAGTGTCGAATTGATATGCCAAAAAACTAAGAAAGATGAACAACAAGAAGAATTCAGAGAAATTGAGAAAGAAACAATGAAGGCTTTGTATTGATCGATGTAAATTGTACATAGGGCTGGAAAAAAATCCCAAAAATCCCAAACCAAACCGAAAAAATCCCGATCCCAAACCAAAAAAATCCCAAACCAAAATTCCCGAAATTTTCGGTATGTAATCCCGAACCAAACCGAAATTTTCGGTATGGGATTCGGTATTCCATCTCCATTTTTTCGGTATTCCCATACCGAATTGAAATAAATATGATTAATCTTTTGTTTGTTTCTATATTCCAGTTGTCTCAACTAATGTGATTAATCTTTGGATATTAGTTTAAGTTCATCAGAAAAGTTTGATTATATATATCAGTATACATATATTATACTAGTACCTTAATATTGTGCATGCATATTGTTAATTGATAAACTAGTACATTAATAAAACTAATTAATATAACTGATGTGGTGTAATTCACTATAGGGAGGTTAATAAAAGGTATACTGATAGTTATAATTGATGCACCTTAATATTTGATGTAGTTTAAGTTCTAACTAGTACTAATAGTTAGTGATATGAAAAGTTTGTATTTGAATTATTCATTATTTATTAGTTGTAAACAATTTAATTTCCTCTTTTATTTTCTTAGTATTTATTATCTATTAGATTATAATTCAATGTAAATGATTTGTGGTTTATTGTTTTAGACACGGCTAATTTGGGAGGTGAGGAGAATACAACACAATTTTGGCTCATAACTAATTTTTTTGATTTTGGGTTTGTTACTTTATTTATAAACCTTGGCTTGTAACTACTATTTTTGCTTTTGAGTTTGTTACTTTATTTATTACTTTATAATATGTCAAATTTTAGCCCAAAAACATAATATGTCAAATTTTAGTCCAAAAGCCCAAAAGCATTTTGGGATTCCCGATTTGTCCCGAAATCCCGAAATTATTTCGGGATTCCCAAAAATTGGGATTCCCGAAAATTTGGTTTGGGATTGGGATTGAATTTGGGATTCCCAAAAATTTCGGTTTGGGAATCGGGACAATGGTTTCGGTATGGGATCCCATACCGAACCACCCCTAATTGTACACAATGAGCTACTCGCAGCCCTTTTATACACAACTAATTCCTCTAACTTACTTTCTTACACCGTAAGCTTGCTCGTTACCACTCTAACTAATTATTAACTGTTTTCTTGATGACATGGCATATGATGTGGCATTTCCCCAGTCAACATGAGTCAATAGGAAATCATTTTCCTCGTGTAATTTTTGTTATCTTACTGCACTCGCAGAATATGAGTGATCTTTGTAGGCTTGTAATATTTATCAGACTTATATATAATTTTTTTAAGAGAATACGACTTATATCAAATTTAGTTGGATTCATATTGCACACTAACAGTAAGATCGATAAATTGAAGTTACGAATGACATGTTTTAATGAAAAAAATCACATGGAATATGCAGCGATTAGAATAAAAAGAGATTAAATTTTTTGAAATATATTATAATATCTAAAGTATAATTAAATTGTAATGCTTCTTCTATAAAGGTGACTTTGTTATTAAATTGCATCTAGTAAAAACAAATAATACATAGCAGTCAGATCCATCTCCTGCTAATAACCATGTACTGATACAAATATTAGTTAATACAATGCTTACAAAGTTTAAAAAAAATTATCTTTTCCTGTTAAGATTTCTAGACAAAAAGAAACAAATTTTAATGAATTTACTCAATCACCGACTTTGCTGACATGTTTTGGTAATTATGGTTAGATTTGAAGACAGCCATATCTTAAAAAGCTAGGCGAAAAGTAATCCATTTTCCACACTTGCAACATCATGAGACATGTGCACTTTGGGAGGCTCTATTCCCAATATCTTAGGCCATTTTCAACAGAAGGTCCAGAGGACTAGAGGATAAAAAATAGTCCGAAAATCATCTCCAACAGAGGGCTAGGTCAGATGGCTCGTCGAATCTGAGAGGAGCCCATGAAATCTGAAAGGACTAAAGGGCTGGAGGGCTGGCTACAACCAGCCGGGGGTTGGCCAGAAAAAACATTAATGCTGTCGGTTATAACCGATAGAAATGCTTAAGCTAAAATTCAAATGCAACGGCTAGCTGACGTTAGTTAGCTGTTGCATTTGAATTTTTTTTTTTAATTTTTACAGTTTTATTATTAATTTTTATTTACAAAATTTTTCCTACATCTTCTATTTTTCATATTTTTTTAAATTCTATTTTTTTCCTATAACTTTTATTTTACAAAATTTGTTTCATATATATTTTTTTAAATTCCATTTTTTCCTATAACTTCTATGTCACAAAATTTGTTTCATTTTATTTTAAATTCTATTTTTTTTTTCCTATAACTTCTATTTCACAAAATTTGTTTCATATATATATTTTTTAAATTATATTTTTTTTCCTATAACTTCCTAAGCCATTATACAACATTAATTTTTTTTCCTATTTTCCTATAATTTCATTAGATTGGCATGCGCCATCGATCTATTTTGTGGTCTGTAAGAGCGACCAGCAATAGAGCCATCCCATTGAGGTTGTTCCTTAATTGGCTAACACACCATGGCCGCAGCCATGGCTGCTGCTCTGTTTTATTTGTTGTGCCTTACTTGAACTTCTTCATCATACTCCTCATCTTCTCGTCTCATTTGTGCCCATTTTGCTTCCAATTTGGAATTGGATGAGGACTCCTAGTTGGAATCTGAAGAGGATCCAAAGTTGGAATTCATTGCAAACTTGAATTGAAAAAATTGAATTGAAAGAGATTGAATTCAAGGTTGTGTGAATTATAGCCCAATATCCACCTTATTTATAGCAAAAGAGAATTCAAATCTAACAGCTAGCTGATGTCAGCATGATGTCAGCTACCAATTAGCTGACGTAATTTAGCCATTGGATTTAAATTTAAGTTGTAGTTTTTAAATAATAAAGTATGTTTGGCCCTATGGCCCTATGACCCTTGGTTGGAGACAGTTTTTTGTGACAGGACTAAAATGAGCCCTATGGCCCTTTGACCCTCAGTTGGAGATGGAGGCAAATATGGTCCTGTATTGTTCATTAAAATATTAATATCTTGGAGGGCCAAAGGGCTAAAATGAGCCTTATGGCCAGCCCTCGGTTGGAGATGGCCTTAGAACTTGTTTGACTGTGTTTTTAAAATGACTAAAAGTGTTTTTAGTGAAAATATTTTTAGAAACAATCATTAGTAAAAATGCTAATAAATTCTGGAAAATCACTTAAAGTGCTTCTTGAAAGAAGCACATAACTGATACTTCTTGTAGAAAGCTCTTAAAAGTGCTTTTGGAGTCCAAAAATATTTTCTCTAAAAGCTCTTTCAGTTAATTTAAAAGCACATCCAAACGAGTCATTAGTAACTTTGCCTTATGCTAGGTTGAAAGAATAAATTAATGTTCTTATTTCCATTCATAAAAGTGATATTAAGGAGGGAGAATCAAGCTTGAAATCTTAGGTAAAGGTGACTCTTTACCAATTAATCCGTCAGCCCAAGAAAAACATGAAATCTGAATTTCAGCATCTTTTGTTGACCAAACAAAGAAGGCAATTTTTGTGGTTATTCAAACTGTTCTTTTTGAGCTTGTTGCTTTTGCATCTTTGTTATCCTATATGTTAAGCAAGAGAGAGATCCATTGAAGATAGAGATTGCAGAAAGAGAGAGAATATCGAAGAGAGACAAGAGGGAAAACAGAAGATTCAATATTATTTCTTAACGAAGAACTCATTACAAAGAAAACTACTTATGCTAGTACAACACTAGCTTAATTACTGCCTAAACAAACTTCTTATTCTAATTACAGGTGTCATAAATTCTTAGCAGATTGAAATGTGTGGTGGCTTCTGATAAAAATATGATCACTAGATTGGATAAGATAAGATGCATCAATAACCCTTGAAAGATTTTTGCGGCACCCTATCCTGAACATCCAAATCTTTTACTCGTAAGGTGAAATGTTTGTACGCAGTTGTCAATTTGATCATGTTTAAGGAGTGGAATGAAATTATGAAATCGAACAGAAAAAAATATTGAACATCGAATTAAATCTCAGAAAAAAATATTGAACATCGAATTAAATCTTTCTCAACTTGTATTACAACAGAAAGGGGTACAAAATCTGCATGCAGTCTGAAATTTCTACACACATATGTACTCAAAATACATAAGCTTTATACTACATATATATTGATCCATATGAAATATCAATAGTACAAACTCATAGCCAAAACATTAAACGTGCCTCTTCCTTTCTATACAATCTCTTTAGAATCAAAATCTCTTTGTGCAGTTTTGGTCTGACTGAATCATAAGAAACAATACGATACAGCATCCATCACGGATGCGCAAACCGCAAACAAATCTTGGTGCCAAACTTAAGGAATGAATCTGTAATTACTTCACCAGCTAGATTATCTTCTGCTTCGGTCTACAATCCCAATCAACTCCAGAGAAGATATGTCGGTCATTAAGGAGACTAAGATCTGAATATCTTCGTCGATAACCCAAGCTGTGAGATAGAATTTTCTCTCCATGCATATCATGAGATCGAGAGAGAGAGAGAGAGAGAGGATATATCTTTCCGTCTCCCTTGCTCTTTTGGGCTGACATGTCTTTTTCATACATCACACCCCAAGCCTCTGGCCTCTGATCCTTTCATGATTCTCAACTTCTTGCAGGATGACATGAACATACTGTAATAACAACAGAAGACTTATGTGAGAGAGAGAGAGAGAGAGAGAGAGAGAGAGAGAACTTACTCCCATGGAACATCTCCAACCAGCATCCAATCACCATCTTTGTCCTCATAAGTAGGTGCATATTCTGATCCTTTGTAGCCTTCCCTCTCTGAGTATTGACCTATAGTAAACTTAAACATGACTTCCAAGGCCTTGAGGAGTTCTGGGTAGCATTTGTAAACCTTAAGATCAATCTTTCTGAGGTAAGGTGCTCCATCCATGCTCACTTTCACATAAATCCCAGTAGCAGTCTCACCCTCTGCATTTTTATTTGCTTGGAGGCTGTTCTTCCTATAAGATCTGATTGGTGGCCACCCCACTATTTGTGCCCTGTCATACCAACACATCAAAACTTTCTGAGTACAACAAACAACTCAAATCTATAGCTCATTCAACATATTTCTTACGAGATAAATTCAATTAAACATGATTAATTAATAAAATGACTTACTTTGCAGGAGGGGTTTCCTTATGAGCGTTTTTAGCATCAGTGCTTCCTTCTTCATTTTTTGAGTCAACTGGCAGTCCTCTCTTCTTGTTTTGATTAGGAAGCTCAATAATTTCATCTCTCCCTGGCAACCCAAGTGTAAGCTCTGTTGCCTTGAGGTTGAGATCTTTCTCATGTGCCTTGCTTTCCATTTTTAACCAAGAATCTTCGACACGAATACTATACCGAATTATTGAACCTCAAGAAACAACACCCAATAATCTGCTCTAGCAAAAACCCAAAAGAACCAAGTTCTTCTTTCTCTTTCTTTTTTTCTTCCCTTTTTTTTTTTGTGGAGAAGTTAGAAATGTGTTTGCTTTGTGGGGAGGTGGGAATGCAAGTGTGTGTTGTATTTTATAGATATGATTAAAGGAAGGAGTGGGAGTTGTGGTAATGCCTTAAATTTGTTTAATTTTTTATATACTCTCTCTTTAATTTACATGAATTATGGACAAAGGAAAGCTAAGCTGTCGGTAGCGGTAGCAGCACCTTTGAGGCATTTTGCCTCTGCGTTTGGGGGACAAGAGTTGGACAAACTCAGCCAACCCCTGTGCAAAACTGTGGACTCACAAGGACGGTCAAGATGCGTTTTGGGGGACTGTGGAAATGTAATCTGCACCTTTAATTGTAAGGGGAGAGTTGAGGAGCATTCCCATGTGAAATGGGATCACATGGATGTTTGGTATGAGCATTTGCATCACCATGTGAGATTAAACTTCGGCACTTTTATTTTTCTAATAAAATTTAAGCTTATGTATTTATATACAAACGATACTCTACATTTAACCGATATAATTTATTGCGAAAAATTCAAACTACAATACAGAGAAAAAACACACCGTTCTAATAAATTCATCTACATGCGAATTTATTCACCTTACCCCTCCTAATATGAAGAAGATGAAAACCTAATTTTGTGTAAACTTTATTATTCTCAATATTTATTGCTGGAAAAGATTATTCTGCATGGTTTAAGTCCCTCTGTCTTCATTTGTTTTTTCTTCCCTACAGTTTCATTGTATTCAATATCTAGTTTGTTTAGAGAAATAATATTTCTTTTTCTTGACCAGGCAAAGCTTGCTGTTTAACTCCAAATTCCAAAACAGGAACCCGACTGACCAAGTGACGTGCAATTTAATCTTGATGTGTATATTATGTTTGACTGAAAATTGCAGATAAGACCACTTGCAATGTTTTAAAAGGCGAAAGCGTGGACGAGGGGTTTGATGGATAGCCCCGTCTAGGCGAAAACCTTAAGGTGTGAGGTGAAGCCTCATGAGACTTAATTTTTTAATACATATGTTATACATATAAAAATATAACAGTCACAAACAAGTTTAACTCACATAACCAAGTTTAATCAAGCAATCAAATTAATCAATTTCAAACATCTACTTAAGCAAGTGCCTATTTATACGAGAGTTTTGGATAATATTTAGGTGGGATAGGTAGTCTTAAAAAAAGAGAAATAAGGAAAAGAATATAACGAAATTAAAAAAAAAAAAATAATATAACATTAAGAAAATAATAATCCAAATAAAAAGATGTTTTCTTTTCTACCGCCAATCATGAGAATATTCAGGAAAATAATAAAAACAAAACCAAAACAATGCTTATCTAATATATATCTAGTATATGAGAAAATAAATATTAGAAATAAAAAAAATGAAGAGAAAATAGAGAGTGCGGTAATAAATGCCTTTAAAGTGGGATTAGTTTTTAAAAAATGAAGATAATGGGGGTACTAAATGTGGTAAAGTATGGTCAGTTTAAGCATTAAAAAAATAAATAAAAACACCAACTCAGCCTAAAAAACCTAGTCGTCTTCTTCATCTTCTCCATCTCATTTGCTGGTGTTCATGGCTTGCAACTCAAAAACAGCTCTACAACTCTAAAAAATTTCTAGATTTTTCAAACTTAAAAAAGAAAAAGGGACGCCCAATTGATGTCTCAAACACGTCTCAGGCGCGACCCAAGAAGCTTAGGCATGTATTTTGACGACTCCCTTAAAATAGAGGCGAAAATGGTGCAGCCCTGCCTCCAAGGCCACCTAGGCACGCCCTGAGACGAGTCTTTTAAAACACTAATAATTAGTAAGAAAAATATGACCCTTCATTGATAAGCATTTGAAATCGAATACAAGATGAGTGGACTTTTTCCTAATCTGAATTTAAATGTATAAATAAAATTAAAAATAATATAAATATAAGAGAATTATGGAGTTAGGAAAATTTTAACACAAGTATTATCATCCTGAATTATTGACATGTTGAATGCGGCAATAGCAAAGCAAGGTTTCTATTTAATTATTAGGGTAAAGTATAAAAAACTACCTTAATTATTGATGTCACAACACTTTCATACCTCATCTTTTAAAATTGACAATGTCATACCTCATCTTATGAATTTATGCCAATGTTATACCTTTCGTTAGCTTGGCGTGAATTTTTCTGTTAAATGCTGACGTGGCTTGATCCTAAACCCATTTTATATAAAAAAAATTAATAAAATATTATTAAAAACTAAAAAAAAATTATTTAATAATTTTTAAATATTAAAAAAATAAAGAAAAGTAAAAATAAATAAATAAATATATAAAAAAAAATAATAAAAAAACCCTCACGTCCCCTTTCCCCACCCCCTTCTCTCTCTTCTCCCCCATCTTCATCTTCTTCCCCCTTCTAGCGCCCTTCCTGCAACCCAGAAAAAAGAAAAAGGAAAAAAAAAAAACAATTTATCTCCCCCCCCCCCAACTCGCGATTTTTTTTAGTTTTTAATAATATTTTATTAATTTTTTTAATAGAAAGTGAGCTCTGAATTAAGTCATGTCAGCATTTTACTGAGAAATTCACATCAAGCTAATGGAATGTATAACATTGGCACAAATTCGTAAGATGAAGTATGACATTGTCAATTTTAAAAAATGAGGTATGAAAATGTCGTGACACCAATAGTTGAGGTAGTTTTTTATACTTTATCCTAATTATTATTTACTTTATATTTTGGGGGGATCAAAAGTAAAGGTTGATCAATTAAGTAATGAATTTATGAAGGGCATGTCCTTAAAGGGTGAGTCCCACGCTTTCAATCGATATGGAGTCTGGACCATCATCTTGCTCACAGTATTATGCTTGTTCAATGTATATCGCAACCTACTCGTTAAAATGCATTTTGGTCCATCCCTTCCCTGCCGCACTCGTGCGCATTAAAACGATGATCAATTATTGTCAAGAACAAACTCAAATATCAATTTCTCGTGTTCTTATCCACATTAGCAAATTAATCTCAAAACAACTACTTACTAGCCAAATTACTTGATCGATTTCCAAGCAGTAAATTCGTTTGGCAACGTTTTTTAATTTTTAATGCTAGCATTAGCCTTTAGGATATAGACTTGGAAATTAGCAAACCTTTTGATGCTTTTAGGGTAAATTTTTCTTTTTGATTTCGATGCTTTTGGGATCATGAGGTAATTTAGAGTTGCAATGTCCTTATATATATATATTGACCAGATAGAAGCATTTGTGTTTCCTATCTGCGGCAGCTTTGATAGTTTTCATCTTTCACATGACTTTGGTGCATCGGATGTCTTGGTTTATGTGGATCCTCCGTCTCTTACAACACTATATTGCAACGTTTGTAATTATTATTTTGTATCTTGATACCCTTGTTTGGAAGTACCGGCTCAGAATATTATAAACTTTTTCTTGAAATATATCATTTTCTTCACACATACACAGCAATCCTTTTTTGATGCTCTAGAAAGCGTTTTTCTTTGATATTCATTTTATTCCCTTTGTACTGTCGAAGTTAAAAATAAATAAATAAATAAAAACTCGAAAGGGGGCTAATCAAGAACATCAACAATATAACTTTCTCCAGTCATAACAAAATGGCAAAACAGATATGCTTCAAAACCTCCCCAAACGCAACTTAAACTAGAATTCTTGCAAATTTACCACCAGGCTTCACTTTTAAGGTGGACGTACCACCTCTGTTAAGGCTTGTTAAAAGTTTCATCAGACCACGTTTGTGCACGGAAAAACTTCCATGCCTATGTTCACCACTCTAAATCCTTATTATACACGACTTGCGGCTAGAATTTCGTTGATTACATCTTGTCTTCAAGTAAGAAGAAAATATGTCCCACGAGCTTTAGAATGGGTCTCTAAGTGGAAAAACTATTCTTAAAAAATAGTTCATGTACATTACAAATTATACGTTTTGACTAAATTTGTAAATAAAACTAATGGGATGATATGTTCTCACTAAAGTATGAGTTTTGATGGTAAATTGACTAGATTTTAGTTTGAGGCATTTGTGTACACCCCGAATATGTTTTCTACTGCCATAAGTATCTATTATCACATAATATATAAGCAAAGGAATATCAAAACTTAACAAACAATGTTGAATATATATATATATATATATTTTTTTTTTTTTTTTGGTGTAAAATTATTATTTTAGATTCCAGTGTTTTCCTTTTTTTTTGTTACTTTGAAGCATTGCAGTCAAGTAAAAGGACGAGTATAGTACGAACGTTAAGCTATTTCACCTTTCTGGCCTTGTCGGGAATTTTGTCATTGTTACTTCTTAACCTTCATGCAAGAATTTCAGAATTGAAGAACACAGAGAAGTTTAGAGGAGAAGAAAGATGTATTTCTGATATCTCAAAACAGTTATTACAACCCACTCTTATCTAAGTACCAGTTTGGCTTTAGCTTAAATTCTAAAAAAAAAGTGGGTACCAAAAAAAAGTTAAGCTTTAAAATGTGTTTGGTAAACATTTTAAAACAGTTTTGGATGAAAAAAAAGCTGAAAAGTAGAAGCAGCAAAATTGAGCTTCACAAGATCAGCTTTTTATCGCCAAAACACGGATGAACAATGTTCGTTAAATGAAACTTTCAAATTTCCAAACCTACCATTTTGCATCTTTATCCTAAAACTCTCCTTCGCTGTTGTCTCTCGCCCACTCCCACTCTCCAGCTCTTTCTCTCTTTCTCTCTCTCCGTTTGAGATTGATCTCTCCCTCTCATCTTGTTCGAGCACTCTTCACAAAAATAAAGGTACATTTCCTTTTCTCAATCTCTATTTTTGGATAGTTGGAATATTGAAATTGAATAATTGGAAGGTAGAATTGGAAGATTTAGATTTCTGGGTCATTTGGGTGATCTGCGATTTTGGGTAATCTGGGTTTCGTAGTGACGAGGCTAACGATGATGGACTTCTTCAATGACATGGAAGACCAGGGCCCCACCATGGCCATAGACATCTCATCAACCCACTCGAGGCGTTCCGCGAGACCCTGACAGGTGAAAGCAAGCTAGCTGATGTTGATTTCTTCACCTGCTTCGAGGACGATTTTGGTGACACCGACATCAACTAAACGAGCAAGCCAAGTCATCTTTCTCTCTATTATTTTGAAAAATTGGATATAAAAGATATGGATTT